TTCACTGATACTGCTCTTAATGTTCCTGACAGCAAAAGGAAAATTAACAAACTCTTAAATATTTTGCTGTATCTTAAGGGAATTCATGCAGCTTATAAAGATATGGTGTTTTTTCTCTGAGAAGCACTATGGGACTATAAAGCAAAATAATATGGAAGACCTTTTTCACATCCACCCCAGAGGTTAAGAATGACAAAAAGACAGTTTTTCAGACATATATGTGTCCACATGCACATATCATCGAGTTAACTTTTTCTTCTGAAAAATAAGAATAGTGATAAACCAAAAGCTTTCACGCCAATTTGCTACAACAAAATTTATGAATATCAGACCATAAACATGGTATCAAATAAACAAGAAAACTTTAAACATATCATAGTTGCAGAAATCTTCAAAACAGCAGAGGATATGAAAGATGGTTGTACTTCTTTTATGACTAGTAAAACAAGAGTAAGAAGGAGGAGAAAGCAGACACATGTTTTTTCATTTTCTCAGCAGCTAGGAAAAAAACTCTGTAGTGTTTCAGGTGCTTCAGCCAACATGAAACATGCTGTAGAATCTAAGAAAAATACCTCGTCAGGGATTAGCTTACACACCCTTTGACCATTCCTCATACGGAACTGCTAGTATCACTACTTGCACTGATCAAAGCTCTGGCTCCCCATTTCAAAGAGCATCATCTTTTTCACTCTTCCCAGCTATTCAGCATCAATCTCTATTTAGCATCTTCATGAGGCGTACCATTCGGCTTTTTTTAAGCATCAACTAGCATTCTTTTGTGAAAAAGCTGCCTTGGCGACTTAGAATATGCCATTTAAATAAAGAGTCTAAAATAGAGTATTTGAGTTACACTTCTGTACACCTATACTCCAATGCTCAGTAATTACAATGTGGGTTACTTCCAAGGGTCACATTTCTGAAATAGTAATTGACTGAACTGTTTCCCACTGCTGCTTAAAACATACCTTCTAAGGAAACATCCTGATACAGGTGACCAACAGACAATGAAGTGCAAATGTAACAGGCAATGAACTGCTTCTTATCATCTTATGTGGCTCTCAACCATTCTGCACACCAAAAGCTCATTGTGACTCTTACTTTATGACAAGCTACGCAAGGACAACCATTTCCATTGTTAGTAACAGCTGAACCACAACCTAACAATGCAGTGGAAGTTTTAATTGTGAGTCTCATACCCTAGAAGACATTTAGATTAACAAGAGAAAAGGCATAGGAACCCGCATCACTCTAAGCAAACTGTAATCACTACCTTAATCTTACAGCACTTTATGCGCACCCTTATCTTGAAACACTAAGAGAGAATTTCACATCTCCATGATGACACTTAAGTTTTCCATTCATTTCCCTTGTATATGAAAAGATCAGCATCCCACTGTACAAAGAGGCATTAAACTATACAAAACATGCTCAAAGGAAAGTGGCATTTCTGAAAGGGACCAGAAGACACATGTCTTTCTTGTTCCTGGGCTTCAAGTGAGAAGCTTTGTCTTACTATTTTTCTCTTTTTTTAAATATACCATTGTCCTTTTCACAATTGTGTCTCCAGTGTCATAATATATTGGGTTGCCTGACAAATACAAAACTAATTTTTCCACTACATTTCATCTCAAATTTGTAGCACTGGATGCTAAAAACTAGTGTTCACTGGATCCAACAATGTAAATTCTACAACTAGGTACATTTTCGGATTTTTATTTGGCTATCAAACTGCCCTAAGTAGGTCTGACCACTGCTAACCTTCTGAATGGCTGTAGTTCAAACCTGCAGGTGCCAGTCTTGGCAATTTATAAAGTATTGTACTTTTCAATGATTTGACCAAAGTGTGCAAAGCTTATGCATTAAATATTTTTGGGTTTATTTTTAAATAAAGAGCATACAAAAAAAAAAAAAAACAGTAAGGGCAGCATCATGGACAACATGACTTAAAGCTGGTACATGAGGAGCTGTGTGCCTCTATGGGACTAAAGTTACTGAGAAACTTTAAATTAATAGAAATGCTATGTTTGAGTGAATTAGATCAGTGAATTACTACTGCAATTTCTAAAGAACTAACATGTAAACTGAATGTTCCCTTTAAATTTAAATAAACGTCCTTCCAAGATTCCTGTTGTTTAATACTTAAAGATACAGTTAACATGGTTAAACAAAAGTATTGTGTTGCACTTAAAAGTAATTTGTGACCTCCCTTTCCCCTAAAATAAATTTCAGTCCTATGACTATTTATGTCTGTAAAACTATTTATATTTATTCTACAGATTAATATCAAAATAAATAATTAAATGTGTTTCAGAATTAAAGCATCCTTTGGTCTCCTTTCAGACTTGTCTGCGCACATTCTTCCCATCATAATGTGAAAAATAATTTGGAAATACAAAGCTTGCCACTGCAAAAAGGACAAGTATTGCAAGAAAACTCTTGAGAGTATAGCATACGAAAACAACTTCAGGTACAGTACCTGAAACTGATGTGGGAATGGCTAGATTTGAAGATGACAGCAAATATAACAAATTTAGTATATACTCAAAACTCAGTATGCTAACAAATACTGAGTTTTAACTAGAGAAGTCTGCAACTAAAACATTACCATCTGAGTGCTGGAACTGTGACGGCATGCATGCTTGTCTCTAGTTCATTTCAACTCCTTTTTAACAAAATACATTTTATAGAATGTATAAAGAATTGGAAACATTTCAGTTAATTTTCTTCTGTCAAGACCTGTTCTTGACTTTGAGGTTATATTTTTCATAAAAAAACCTCAGGGCCTGAATTGAGACCTGGAGGAAAATGGCTCTGCAATGGTTAGCCTTCATGTCAACTGTAGTAAATGATAAACTGTGAGGTATAAAACACTGCCAATTACCTCAACAGTATACTAAGTCAGTTGTATTCTATTTTTCAGTTGCCAAGCACTTTTAATCAAATAGTAAAACATCAACCATTACATGAAAACAATACTGACCATCTTAAATGAAATCCTTCCCAAGACTTTAAATGTTAGGACTAATTTTATATATATGACTAGGTACAGCACTGACAATGCCATGTATCATCACTAGACACTGAACAGCTTTCCACCACAGCTGGCATTACTTCAGTAGTCAGAGTTCAAATAAACTTGAAATATTTCCTTCTAATCAAATTAACGACAAGCCTATATTAATTACTTCAATTCTGACTATCATATCGGATAGCTATAATACAAGATATTGCTCAGCTCGCACATACATTTGGAGTAAGCTATACTACCTAGATGGACAGCTACCTTTATTTCAGCTTCACTGCAGAATCCAATCACAACTCCTTCATTTAAAAAAGCCCACCCAACCCCAGAAGTACCCAACCTGCAGACTTAAGTGTTTAAAAGGATTTGGACTGTTCTTTCTAAAATGTCATCTGGATTTCACCAGTGTGTTACCTAAACTGTTGTAAAATTATTAGCTGAATGCAAACTGTTTAAGTATGGTAAAAGTTTTTGTACAATTTAGTCTATCCCAGCTGCTCCTAAATTTAATTTACAACTATTTTAAGCCAAAAATATCTCTAACAGAACTCTGACATCATTTCTGGAGTATAATTTGACCTTAAAGCATAACATAAACAAAGAAAAGGATTTTTAGATGTGAGGCAGAAATATTCCGCAGGTTAATCAAAAACATTTGGGTATAGCACAGACTACAATCTACGGACTCATACACTTCAGCTCCTTTAAATATTTATTAATCATTTCACAGTTCTAAAATCCAAAATGTTTATAGGTCTGTTAGACCAGAGACAACAATGGAAAGTTAAGTTAAGGTCAAGTTTTGCACTGGGTACAGAGACGTCAGTGTGCCTAGCAATGACACCTAGGATTCTCCAAATGTTCCAAGTCTTGCACCATTTACTTCCAGGATCAGGGGTTTAGTCACAGCATCTTTAAAATCTTCTTATCAGTATAGTCCAACATTCAAATACAGAGATGCAGGTTAAAACAAAACTGAAAGAGAAGTCACAAAAATAAGTCTATTCATAGATGCTTTGTATTTATACTATCGGAAATAAGTTGGTTAAAATGTCATTGCCTGATCATTTGCATTTTCTTTTCTGACAACCTGAAGTTTACTGTTTTTCAAGTATTCAGAAGATTTAAGGCATATAAAGCTCTCCTCTTCAGTACAGTTCTCACCTTAAGTCTTCAGAGTTATTTTTACAGTACTTACACCTGAATGCTCAGCAAGTCAGCCAGAAGTTGTTTTTCAATATGAAAGTGAAGACTTTTGCTCACAATAGTAGGTATATATGAGAAAAAGGTTATAATCTACTTATGTTCTTCAGTTCTTGTGACTAGACTCCTCCTTTTCCCCATTAAACAATGCAACACACAAGCCAATCAAATAATAAAATAGGGAAAAAATAGTTTCTAGTATTTGCTTTCCTTCTAGCAGCCACAATGTGTCTTCTTCTACTTAAGAATTCAAGCTGCATAAAGTGCAATGCCTAGAACTGCACATCAGTTACGGCTGTTCAATTGCTCTTGAGTTACCAGAAGTACCTGTCCATTTTAAAAACCTATCTTATTGTGGCTTGTAGAAACGACATGGTTGGCACCTTGTTCTACTACAAATCAAATTAACATTTTAAGAACCCAAACCAGCATTGTACTATTTCAGATTATTAAAACCCTACTACATCCCTACTGGGGATAGCAAGAGGGCAACCCAGAGCTCCATTATGTGTCCAGTCTATAGAGATATACATTGTAACCCGAGCTGATACTTTCTAAGGTTAATATAAGAAAAAAATCTATTCTTTATAAGATGTATGACTTCCTATAAAGAAAGCAGGTATTTATTTCCCTGGCTTTTACCTTAACTTTAAAATATAAATGACACAAATTCTCGCAATGAAGAGGAACAAAGCGACGTTGCCAGAAGAACTATCTTGCAATAAACCAAATATTAACTACCGGCACAAAGAGAAGCCAGGTGCCGTATCAGTACCTGAGCCTGTAAGCATGTGTTTGTGGGTGCCGTAGCCCACTCTCAGCACAGTGCTTTGGTGCAGAACCTGAGATCCGTGCAGCACACAGGAATGTCTGCTTCCATCCATCCTGACCACTGCGAATATACTATTCTCGAACCAGAGGCGAGCCTCCGGGCCTTTGTATTCCCATCCCCAGACTGAAAACACAGCTCCACGAGGCGTTAAGAGCGGGCACGCGTTTAACAATCGAAGAGGATGAGGGTGGCAGAAGAGGCGAGGGTCGCGGGGAAGCCCGCAGGCCCCGCGCCTAGCGATGCAGGAAACCCCCCCTGCCGTTGCGTGAAGTTGGCCGGGCATCGCCCGCCCCACCGCACGCCAGGCGCAGGAAAGCGGCCTCCCCCACCGCGGCCTCCTCCCGCTCCCTCCTCTCCCCTCAGCCCGCCGCCACAGCCATTCTTCTCCGCTCAGTCTCCCCCAGCCTGTCGGCGGGAGGAATGTCTGGGGGGGGTTCCCTCCATTACCCTCTCCCCCCTCCCGTTTCCCAGGGACAGCGTCAACGGCCCGCTCCCGCCCGACAAGGGGCGAAGAGGGGGGGGAGCCCCTGGGCTGCCTGCGGGAGCGCCCCCCCACCTCTGCC